TCTTACAACGAGAGAACGAAAGATGATTATACCTGTGAGGACTTCCTTGTCTTGCTGGTATACATATATTCTGTGGTTGGAGAAATCGAAAGTGGAAAAGAGTTGGATGCAGCTGAAGAAAAGGTGAAAAAGGCCCTCATCAAGGCAATTTGTGATGAGCCAGAGCCATCTCCTCTGTTGCAGAAAATTACAGGTAAGATTCTGCTTGTGTGGTGGGAAATTGGATGGCTGGGAATGTGGGAACTGGGAAAAGTGTATAAAAATGGTTTGACTGGTCTGTGGTGCTGAGAGTACATGAGTAAGCAAAAGGATTTCCTGTAGATTTGTTCCATCTCCCGTGTTCATATATGCCAAATGCTGACAGGCTGTCCTTGAAGAGTGCTGAGTCTGATGAAAGCTCTACAAGTTGTTCTTTTTGTTAAAGGTTGGCTAAGTTTGTGTGTTTTTGTAAGGTAATCTTTTCCACAATTTCTTTCACTGATTTGTGTAAAGTTGACCCTGGGAAGTCAAAATTAGTCCTGGAAACATGTTCAGTGAACCACAGTAGCTTTGTGAATACGAGGAGCTGGCCTCTCTGGCATAAAAGAAGAAATGTGTCTAAAACCAACACTGAGCTTTTTGCTGAAACAACATGAACACTAGCCTTTAAAAATAGCATGCTAAGCCTTCTTTTAGGTCAGCCCTGATAGAGCAGGAAAGCCATAACCTCTTGCTGCTGGTGTCACATTTTAGAAAAAAAAAATTAAAAACTTTATTTAAAATGAATGAATTATGGCTCAGGGGTGGCCTAGAGTGGCAGAAGGGATGTCACTTCTTGTTATTCATTTTTCTCAGTATTTGATAATACCGAGGAGGTCATCTTTGAGGTGGTGAGCATATGAACAGAAATCAAGATGTTTAGAGGGGCTTACAATCGAAAGTCTTTGCCAAGGACGGACCTAAGTGTGGAGTCTCAAGGGAAGTGGAATAATAGTGCTGTTGGTTTTTATTTTATAATTGCTGTATTTATTTTATTTTATTTATTTTATAACCTTATTCTACTTTGAAATACAGGTGTGGTCTTACCGGTCTGCTGTTGTTTTGAGCATAAAACACTATAGTGGTTGAAAGACTTACTTAAGGAATAGACATATTCAGTCATATTTGCAATGTGCTCTTATTTTAATACTCTCAGCCAAGGTGCCCACAGTGTTCCAGGCTTCTTGTAGGCTTTTTTCCTCTTTTTTTTTCAATATGTACTGCACATCTTGTCCACTATGTGGTGTTTCCTCAGAACTTCAGTGTTGTCTTCTACTGGATGTGGTCCAGTAATTTCTTCATCTCTATTTTCATATTCTCCATTTTCTCCTATGATCAGAGATGTTTTAAGTCACAGTTTTGTCACAATTTCTCTTCATTGGGCCTAATGTAAGTATGCAAAGATTTTAAGTCTCTGAAACTTCAGTCAAGTACCAAAGAGAAGCTCTGGAGAGACCCAGTGTAGGTGGTTTTAGACCAAGCGCATCATTGTTATGTGATGAGGTTAATTGCATAACACAAAGACAGAGTCCTGGCATCCTTTTTTCTGTATCTGTATTCTTCATTTTTACATCTTATTTAGTTCTTTTTGAGTTCATAATAGGAGAGGGCAAAGCAAAATTAAAACCTACTGATATGATCAAAAATAAGGATTCTCATGGGAGCAAAGTATAAAATGAAATTTCTATGAATGCTCCATAGGTAGTTTTCAAGGCTTTATTCATCCAATAGTTTGCTTTCTTAGCATTAGTGGAATTTGCTGAATTTGCCAGTTGCTATATTTGCTGTACCGTTGAATTGGGAAGACTAATAAAACTTGACCAGCCTTAGACCTACTCCTCCTTGACCTCTATTTTGCCAGGCCTGTGTTTTACACCCTGCTGCCCTCTGAACCTTAGGTACTTTGCTCATTACTTGAGAGGCAAAGCAAGTCAGAACAATAGGAGCATCCATAGGCTTTCCTTCAAAGGCGCAGCAGGACTCTCTTTGTAACAGGGTGGAAAATCAGGGAATAGATAGCAGTGCCGGTTTCTCCTTTTTGGTACAATCACAGATGTAATGCTGAGACATCTCCTGCTACCAGCAGAACTTCTATGAACTACAGACTGACTATTCCTTTTAGCAGATACTGGTTGGCATATTTTCACAAAGGCAACCCAGCTCTGCAAGTTAGCAGCAGCCATGCATCTGGACAGATCGTGGTTCAGCCCCACAGCGTTCTGCCCTCATTTTACTGTAAGAAACAGAAACAAGAGAAAGCCTTTTTTGCTATTGCCACAAAAGTTAATTAGACTAAAAAAAAAATTGCAATAATTCTTGGAATCTCTCACTCATGATCAGAACAAGTGAAATGTTCACAGTCTTTTATTTCACCTTTCCATCAAGGTAAGTGATAGAAAGAATGTTAAATGGGATGTTTCAGGAGAGAAGACTGGGCCAGTTACTGTGTGAGTTCAAGACACTGCTGGTTCACTGCTCACCTCCAGACTGAATTTTCAAACCCTGCTGGCAGTCCATGATTGGACAGCTGGGGTTATAGCAACAGATATAAAAATTCACTGTTCCCTGTAAAAAACATAGAGAGATGTAATAATACATAGACTGCAAAGCTGAGCACTCCAAAGCTGAGAAATGTCAGTAACTCTGTTTCCCATGTAACTGTCATTTGACTCCTATGTGCGTTGTAGCACAGTCTTCAGTTTCATGATTTTGTACTTTATTTTCTGTTAGCCATGGCTGCATTTGGTGTGTGGACCAAACACCACAGAGGACTAGAACAATATAGTTTTGGTTATTCTTACATATGATGAAGAAGTACTTATGAAGTAAATGACACTGTATGATATACAGCAACTAGCTTTCTCTCAGGATCTCAGTTTGAAGTTGATGAAGTGGACTGATACTCTCAGCTTTGTGTGACTCATTTTGGAACTTGAAACAGAAAACCGTGGAATTACATTTTCAGGTACTAGTAATTATGTGTCTTTGAACAAAGAGGACTTTGTGTTCTGCTTCCTGATACACCTGGTACCTGGTGTTTTGGGTTTCTTTTGGTCACAGCATTGCACTAAGGCTGTTTGGTTGGTTGAAGTTGAAATTAAAAGTCATATCTCAGCTGTGGCTCTGAACTGCTGCCTCAGCCTTTTGCTTTCCACTTTTCTGCAAGGCATGGAAGTTGTGCAGTCTTGAGAAATACACATTTTTGTTGGTTTTATTTGTT